ACTCACTTATCACTCACTCATTCACTCCGTTGCTAACTCACTCCCTTGCTTACTGCCTCCCTCATTTAATCCTCCATCTTTATCGACCTCCCTTAGTCCTTTATCCCTCACACACTCTCTCCCTCCTTCTCTCCCTCACTCATTTCATCACTCACTCAGTCCCCTGCATCCTACATCCCTCATCTATTCCACTCTTCCTAGATCCCTCCCTTAGTCAATTATCACTTCCTCACTCATTCGATGGCACTCACTCGATGGCACACAACCACACATGATCACATAACCCTTCCTTAGTCACTCATCCATCACTCACTAACTCACTTACTCATTCACTCAGTCACTCTCTTTCTCCTTCTCCCTACCTCACTCACTCATTCCATCACTCACTCATTCACTCACTCACTAACTGATTCCCTGTCCACACCCTCCCTTACTCTCTTTTGCTTCCTAGCTCCGTCACTCATTACATCCCTCCTTGTCTCCCTGTCTCCATACTTCACTCACTCATGACATCACTCAATAGCTCTCTCTTTTCCTCAGTCAGATGGAGTCTGGGTGTCTAAATCAGACCTCACCTGGACTGTTAACACCTCAACCCAGCACAAAGGACCATTAACAGCTACTGCTTCTTGAGCTGCCTCCAAAAGCCACCAGAGGAGCCTTTTTCACTACCAGTCGACCAGCAGCTATTATATTTAAGTTTAAATTTAATAACTTTTATCTTGTTTCAAAATCAATGTTAATACAAAGACAATACTCTTTCATTATATGCTTTCTTTATTAAATAATATATATGCTGGTACAATTTGTTTGGAGGAACTGAGGGTTTCTCCCCTCCCCTTCTCTCTCAGACAGTTACAACAGCAGCTGTAATTGACTGACAGATAAAGCAGCAATATTCTTTTGTGGAAAGATCAACCCTCACCTGACGTCATGTATAATTAGAGCAGAGTCGTTTACCATATTTATTGACTCTTAAAGGAACAGGAAGTAAATGAACAGGGAGCCTTCTTCTCTGACCTGAGATGGGAGATGTGGATTAAAACAAAAACAGTAAAAATCAGTCCTCAAAGCAGACCGTTGCCTTACAAATCTACTGCAGTGGAATATTTATTCTTTCTTTAAACTGTCAGCATTTTTTAAATGCTTTTTGATATTATTTCAGATCAAGTGTTGAAGTTAAATGGTACAGCATCCGAAATAGAAGAGAGGTTTAATTCTGGCGTCTTAAACTGTTTGTATTGTTGCATTTGATTTTGAGTGTCTGAAGAGGAAAATAAGAGACTGGATATATTGTGCACATTAATTTAATCAGAAGACACTACACTGACATTACATTATTACAGTTTTTCTGAATTGCTAAAACAAATTTCCTAAAATCTCATCTCTTTGTGTCAAAACACTAAACACAAACTGTAAAATTCAAGCTACACTCACATAACCATTAACTTGTCTTGCAAAACCAAACATTTTACCCAAAACTATTTTAACTTTACTCAAAATCAACCACTACTGTCAAAAGCCACACAAAACCAGCCAATGTGCAACAACTTAGCAACGATTACACACTACAAAAATAAATACAAAACACTGTGAGACAGCTGGAAAATAATATTTATCTATTCATTCATTTATTCTTGCACTCACATTTTAACAAAACAAAAAGAACTGCAGTAAAAAAAAAGTTATATATACATTAAAGAATTATATATTTTTACAACATATTCAGATAATTGATCCTACCTCAACATCACGCCTCTGTGCTGGGTCAGGCCACAGGACTTCATCCACATTACATGCTATGGTCTCCCTTGCAATGCAACGAGGAAAGAATCGTTTAGGATGCGGAATCCAGCTCTGGCAAGATTCCACTCCTATCTCACCACATGCTCCATTCAATGCTTGAAGTAGATTTTCCTGTGTTTAAAGGTTTCGGTTATATACTTTACATCTCCATGCTGAGAAAAACTCCCCAATAGGGTTCAAAAAGGGAGAGTATGGTGGAAGAAACAAATTCATAAAATGCTTCTCATTGTGAAACCAATTGTGTATTCTTGGACCACGGTGAAAGCTTACATTGGCCCAAATGATATGGGATGCTCTGCCTGCTCGCGATCTCTCTACTCAAGCAAAGCATCCCGTAGACCCTCCAGGAATGTTGCTATAAGTTTGTTGTTGTATGGCCCAACAGTAACATGACTGTGGAGAACCCCATAGCTGCTGATGGCAGCAGAGAAGAGATAGTTACATTTCCACCACGCTGGCCAGGCAGTTCAATAATGGCACGCTGACCTATGACATTGCAAGCTTTTCTTCTCCTTTTTGTTAGATTCAAAATGTATGTTGTCTTCTATATTCCCTTGCTGCATTTCATGCAGTCAAATTGCATTTTTCTGACGGACCATGGTAAATAAAATGGTAAATGGTCTGTATTTGTATAGCGCTTTACTTGGTCCTAAGGACCCCAAAGCACTTTACACTATACACAATCATCCACCCATTCACACAGACCATATCCACAATAAGTGTCTCCTGGTGTTGTGAGTGCATGCATGTTCTTTCACCCTCATGTGGCCGTCTTTAAATTCGGGCGATCGTGGCTCAAGAGTTGGGAGTTCACCTTGTAATCAGAAGGTTGCCGGTTCGAGCCCCGGCTCTGACAGTCTCGGTCGTTGTGTCTTTGGGCAAAACACTTCACCCGTTGCCTACTGGTGGTGGTCAGAGGGCCCGGTGGCGCCAGCCTCGCCTCTGTCAGTGCGCCCCAGATGGCTGTGGCTACAATGTAGCTTGCCATCCATCACCTGTGTGTGAATGGGTGGATGACTGGTTGTGTAAAGCGTTTTGGGGTCCTTAGGGACTAGAAAAGTGCTATATAAATACAGGCCATTTACCATTTAAATTCTAAACAAAATACCATTTAGTTATAAGTATACTTGTATACATAGCACATGTATAGATTATACTATTTAATTTACAGAACTAAAATTAGTTTGTTGTGTACAGAGAATCTTTGAGCTTGACTCAATGGTTAGGCCTCATGAATACATCTTCGTGGATGAAGCTGTATTCAATATAGCAAAAAGCAGAAGAAGAGGTTGTAACATGTGTTTTCAATTTTGAGTGGTAGTGTGTTAATGATGAAAACAGTGTGTTAATTGTGTTTAACTTCTGTAGCCTGTGTGCACAATTCTGGGTACAAGTGCACCACACTGCTAAATGTGTTTTGTGTTTGAGAATATGTTTAAAGTTCTGGTAAATGGGAGATTCAGATTGGCAAATGGTGTCCTAACCAGATGAATAGTGTTTAAGATTTTGGCAACTGTGGGATTGATTTGATGAAAGAGTTTTCATAGTTGACAGTTTAGTTTTTACATTGGGGTTTAGTGTTTTAGCAATTCAGAAAAACTGTAATGTAAACACCATGGGTTTAGAACTGAACTTAATTGGTTAAAGTTTTTACATTGACAGGAGTAAACAATATATTGACAGACTTCAGATTATATGGGATCATTGTAGTTCCTGAATTAATTTAATGGGAAAAACAAAACAAAAATCACTCTGTCTGTTTTTGTTACAAGTCACATCCTTGTTATAAGACTAATACATAACATTTTACCAGATGGAGATAAAGAAATAAATAAGAACCCTGATGGAGCACAACTTCCTCTGAACAACAAGTGCTGAACTAAAACTTTGATGCTTTTATTACAACATACTGACCTCAGCCTGGTTTAATACAACACTGATGTCAGCCTGCTGAATGTAAAAATGTAATGTTTATGACTCAGACCCTGTAGGCGAACATGCACACAGACAGAAATGATTAAAATAAAAAATTCCCTGCCTTCACTGTGGTAACAATAAGCAACAACAGATTGATGCAGTTTAAAAATTAATTATTAAACTCAATTTTCCACACATGAATACTATGATAGCTTTAGTTTTAATAGATCATCTTGCTGATGTCAGCATGACAATATCAGCAATATTTTATAGATCATTGGGCTGACGTCAGCAAGATGACATCAGCAGTTTATATAGGTCATTTATGCTGATGTCAGCACTGGTAATATGGAAATCTATTGTAGTGTATTAATCTTTTTGTGTCATTGTGAAGTCATATAATGTCTTGAAAAAATGTTTTAAAGAGCTAAAACAAAGAAAGTTCTTATGTCAACCAATGACTAACAGTATTTCTTTAAAGTTTGGAAATCAAAGCAATTTCAAATTGCTTTTTATGTTAAAGTTTTTTAACGCAATTATGCTTCTCCGCATGTTTTCCAGTAGGGGGCGGTAATGTCCCTACAAACAGAGGGATCAGTAATCTTTAAATTGGACCCAGAAGAAGACGCATTTGACCTTTTATTATTACTATTATTAGGTAGCTAAGAGGACGGTGTTTCGGGGAAAAGACGCTCGTAGAAATTTCTCCTAACTATAAGTTATAGCTTTTGATAAGTTGGGTTTTAGCTGAAGTAGTTTCTTATTATTGTTGAATTCTGCTGGATTTTACATCTTCTGCGTCGTTGGGCTGGACAGTGTTAGGAAAGGCGGACTCTGAATCCTCTCCCAGGGTGTTATGTCTTTCCAGAGTAGCTGGGGGATGGTCATGGAAAAGTTCTGGGATTCAGGGATTCCTTGTTTACATCCTCCCGGAGTACGTCTCGGGGGCGGGCTTGGCTCCGCCCTCATTCTTTAGCCCTGACGTCATTGTCGCTTGTGTTTTTTATGAATGAAAGAATCCAACCTCAGAGAGCAGCGGAGTAATTCCGGGAAAAGGCGGACTGACATTTTGTCGCCGGAGTTGCGTCGAGCCGTCAGGTAAACCATTACTTTTTTATAAAAATACTAAACATTAAAATGTTTAGCCGGTATTCGTGGTAACAGCTGAGCACTAGAGGAATGGTATCTGCCGGGGGACGTGCCAACCAGGGTAACCAACCAAGGACAAATGAGCAGTCAGCAGCTGGCTTTAATCTCCTTTAGCCTGTCACTAACCGTTTATGCTAGTTGCTAACAGTTCATACTAGCATGTTTAAGATGATACGAATAATTTGGCCCCGCTTTGCATATTTCTGTCTGTATTTCGGCTAGACTGACACCCAGAGGGGGTTATCACTTCCTTATTTCATAAGTGTGCTTAAATACAATTTAAATGGATTAAAGTCTAGATGTCGGAAGAGGCTCTAATGATAGCTGTTTACTATAGCGCACATTTGCCCTACGGTGTCCAGCCCCGCTCTTTAAGGGTAAGGCTAGATGCTAACTGCAGCTAGATAAATAAATAAATATAGGTCCCAGGCCTGGCTTGTATTTTCCACTCGGTATTTAATCGTTGTATATTAAGTATTGAAGATAGACGGGAGTGGAATTTCTGAAATCGTGCTATAGCTTGCGTTTAGCAGTGTTGCGTTGACTTGTTGCTTTCCACTTAAGACAAAAAAACAAAAACTACTATGTCCTCCAACTGGGTATTTATAGTATGGCACAAATGTGGATATCCTGTGTTGTTTGGACTGACCGAGAAAGACGCGGTCACCCCTGGTTTTCCTATATTTGTACTGACCGGCAGTCTTGGTGGAGCTGAGCAAGAGCTTTATTGCTGAATCACCCTGACTTTACGAAACGGCGGTCTCCTCGGTTTACAGCCGGAGTCCGACGGCTGGTTGGACAACCGCTGTTGCTGCAACCTCTACTTCCTACGCATTTCGGGAAATGCTGTTTATTGTCCGGCCATAACAGCCTTTTTTATTTAGCTTATTTAGTTTTATCATCCAGTGTGCCTGAGTTGGAGGCCCATGCAGCAAGTTATTGTTTTATTTATTATGACTACGCATTCATAGAAAATGGGATTCCCCCCAGAGTGAAAGAGATCAAACGTGACATTTTAACTCGAATGACCCTTTTTGGTTATGTTTTGTTTGTGGTTCACTTGTTGGAAATGTAAGTAGTCTCCTGTAAAGTCTAAGCACATCAGCAGTCTTCTTTTTATAGTCATTAAGGCACCAGGTCTGTATCTTTTATGCCTAATTTATAGAGGAAAATGTTACAATATAACTGGGGTTTCTAAAATTGTTGTGACACAATTTAAATAAAGCTGTGAATGTCTTTTAAATAATTAAAATGAACACACTGCTTTTTTGTGATTTGCGATTTTCAAGAGAAAAAAGGCTAAAAGGTTGTTAGGGATCAGTCTGGGTCTCAGGAAGAAAAATAAAGAAAAAGAGATGACTGCACTCATCTCTTAGCTCATCAGAGACGCTGCCAAAAGGTCAACCTTAAAGTAAGCGGTGAGCGCTCTGTCATGACATGCAGCTTTCTGTTTACTGTGTTTTTTCTCAACCCTTCTGGACTACAGCGTGAGAGCAGCACAGGGAAAGAACATTCGCCATAAGGAGAAAATCCAGTGTTGCAATAAATGAGAAAGTTAACAGAGTGAATTTGCAGAAGTAAGATGGGAAAATCCCCATGGTTTGCATGATGTCAGAGTGAAATTTGGTGGTCTTCATTAAACATTATCATACAAAAAGTTTTAGCAGTATAGCTGGCCCAGAGTACCTTCATGTCAACAGACCACTTGGCCATTTGTATCCTTTACTTTCACATGAGGATCTGGGTGAAGGAAAGACAAAAAAAAAAGATGTCTCCAGCTGAAGTGCTGAGTGAGGGTTTTTTTTGTTTTGTTTTTTAAATAAGCAACCGAGGAGTGACTAAGGTGGGGGAAGAAGTTGAAGTTGGCCCATTTAGGTTAGACTTTAATCCCACGCTGTGGCATTTGAGAGGCGTGTAGCAGTCCTGATAAGAGCCTGTGTGAAACCTGTGCTTCTTAGGTAGACTCTTTAAGACATTTGATTACATATTTATTTTTAAATCAAGTATTGTAATTTTTCAAGTTTAACTGTTTAAAAAGTGTCCCTTTTAAAAACCACGTATTCAAGTTTTTGGGTTTGTTTTTTGTTTTTTTAAAGCCAAGGGCCTCGAACCGTTGGTGTTGTGCTGACAAGAGGAAGTGCTCAGGGAATTGGTTAGGACACCTGCTTTGAGCAACCAAAGGGCAGCCACATGATAACTTCCTCCTGATAATTCCAGCTAACAGAGAAAGGCATGTCACTTTCAAAACCTCCCCTGTCTTTCACATGAAACCACAAATTATAATGAGACGGCATGCTTTGGAGAAGCACGAAAGATCTGCAGGTTCTCCTTTTTCTTCAGTAGTGCATGACTGCATGTCTTGTGAGCGGATGGTGAATGTCAGGCAGGCTATGAACCAAAAATGCACAGTGTCCCACATTTCATGTGATGTTGTTTGTGTTTGTTTCTTCAGATTGTGTGTATCTGGTTTTACTGGTGCTTGGGGAGGGAAAAAAAACAAAGACAACTGGACCATGACGACAGAAAGAAACAGCAAAGCTCTGAAGGTAAAACACAGCCAGACATAAAACAGAGTCATGGGGAGGGGGGGGGTTGTTTTGTTTTTCAAGAGAGAAAACTGTCATTTTGAAAAAAGGAAGAAGAAAAGAAAGTATGTTTTTCTTTCTCATTCTTCCTTCTTTAAATGCTTCCTCTCTTCCTGTTTCCTCCTGTTTTTACTTCAGGTGAAGCAGGAATGCGGCGAGAACGTGCCCTTCCTGTCGGACAGCGAACTAATGTCCCTGTCGGTGCGAGAGCTGAATCTCCACCTGCGTGGCCTCTCCCGCGACGATATTCAGAAGCTGAAGCAGCGGCGTCGCACCTTAAAGAACAGGGGATATGCCGCCAGCTGCCGGGTCAAGCGGGTGTCTCAGCGAGAGGCCCTGGAGCAGCAGAAGATGGAGCTGCAGAGAGAGGTGGAGAGGCTCGGAGCTGAGAACGCCGGAATGAGGAAGGAGCTGGAGGGGCTCAGCGCACGCCTGGCTGCGCTTCAGAGATTCGCCAGGGGTCTGGAAGCGGGAGGAGGCAGCCTGCTGGCGACGGCCCCTCGCCTCAACACCGCCTCGGTCATCACCATCGTCAAGAGTCCGCAGCAGCCTCAGCCACAGAGGGAGCACGAGCTATCCTAGAAGGAGATGCTGAAACCAGACTGGGGTTTGGGATTCGGGGTGGGGACGGGGAAGCCTGCAATGCAAACACGCACACATCTGCGGGCCTTAATACTCACGCAGGCAGGAGAGCAGGATGACTTGTAATAATAGGAAAATACTAAGCGCCTTGTTCACATTACAATTGACAGAAATCCGATCACAGCTACGATCACCTTTCTAACAAACAAGAAAACAGAAACGGGTTCAGTACTGTAGTTTTGATAGAGATGTCCTCTGATGATCCTCCATGAAACAGCAGTCTGGTCAAGTAAGATTTACTCAGTGTTTTTTTTTTTTTTTTTTTTTTGAAGCACTCGAAGTTTCAAATTCTGTTTAATGTGAACAAGGCGTCGCACATATTTATGCACAAAAAACCCTCACAGTCTTTCCCTTGAGCTACACGGGGACTCTGACTGAAGCCCAACGAAGCCAAACAGGGTTACTGAGCACCTTTAGTCCTCAGCAAACCCCCACAGCGAGGCTGGTGTAGCCTGATTATGCTACTTAAAGGCTGGGATGCCTTTCTGCTTCCGTTTATGGCACCTGACCAACAGCAAAATGCTAGGGTGGAGCTTCCTCGGTCTCCATAATGCCTTCTAGTCTGAAATCACTAGATTGGCTCAGCCTCGTGTTCCCCCCCGCCCCCCCTGTTTGTTTTTTTTTCTTTTTATTCCCTCTCAATGCAGTTTCTCACCCTTTATGTCACTTTATGTGCCGGTGGGATAATCGAATCTGTTTTCGCCTCCTTCCATTGATGGCTCTCTAGCTGCTTTAGTCATGAGACTTTTGGGAGCAGAAACGGTCAGAGAAATGCTGCCTGAGTGCATTGTGAATTTCTCTAAGTTGTGCGATTCACTAAGATTTTCCAGGTTTTTGGTTTGTTTTTTTTTGGGGGGGGGGGGGGTCTCACCAGTCCAAAAAGACAATTCTGTATTATATGTGTGCTCATTTTTCACATTAATGCAGTGCCTTCAGTGTATGAAGGAGCTCACCAGTCCTCCTGATTGTCTGAAACGACTCACTTCTTATTTCTCATTGTGATTTCTGTGGATTTCCATCTTTTTCTAAGCTTTAATCCCAAATTTCTCGTTTCATAAAAACTGCCGTGCAGCAGTTTGGCCAAGTCCAACGTCAGTGGCTTCTTCTTTCTGACGAAAAATGTTGGTCATTTTAAATAAATAACTGAATAAACGAATGTGTGGAAATAGAATCACGTCTGGTAGGAATTACGCTCAAGTCGATGCAAATCCTCTGCAAACATTCCCGTTGTTGTGTTGTTTGTAATGTCTGAGAGACGCAAATGTTCAGTGACATTTATATATTCTAAATTTTATTTGTATTTAAAAGTAGATATTATGACAAGACAAGCTAACGAGTGCTGTGATGTTCTGTATGTTTTCAAAAAGTACTTATGACTAGTCTGAGGATATTCTCACGTCTAATTATTGTGCTGCGTGGCGACGATGATTACTTTACAAAACGTTTGATTATTAGCTGTGTAGAAATATGCTCAAAGCCAATGGCCATATTGATGTATGACGATTTGTGTGTGTGTGTGTGTGTGTGTGTGTGTGTGCGCGTGCGTGCGCATGCGTGTGTGTACATGTGTGTTTTACGTATATTTTTGCAATGTTTGTACTAGCTCGTCGTCGTGGATATCTTGGAGGGACATTATTTTTCTAAGATGAATCGTATGTTGTTTGTGCGGAGAAAAAAAAATTGAGGTCATTTCTGAATGGGCGGGGCAGACAGAGACACAGGAGGTTAAAGAGAGAGAGAGAAGACTGATGGAGACGAGGGTGAGAGTGGAGGGTTGAGAAGAAGACTGATGATGGAGAAAGAAAGTAGGCACAGCAGACTGGAAAAGAAGGTGCATAGAGGTGGTGTTTTATTCACTTGAAAAGCCTCCGTCTGACGTAGGCCTGTTTCACTCAGCAGGCTTAAATTTCATGGGAGTTTAGGCCACTGAATAGTGCTAGCAATATAATATATTAAGTAGGCATGGTAACACATGAAACTGTGTTGACAAATAACTCCTAAAGATATGAGGCATATATTTAGCTATATATGAGTATTAGTGTGGCAAAGCATTTATTCTCTATATTTTAACGTCTCACATCTGTCAAACCCTGCTGGATGTTTTATAATACCTGCAAAACAGAAATGGTCTTTCTATTTATTACTTGTATTTTTTCTATTGTGAAAATTTAAGTACATTGTCTATTTTATATATTAATTATAATAAATGTTGTACATATTGTACATAAAACTGTGGTCTCGGTTGTTTTGTTTTTTGGAACGTGTGCGGGCCATGAGAGGAAGTGGATCTGCAGGATGTGTTGCACAACTTATTGGTCTGGATGCAAAGATAAAGTCGAGTTACATGTGTGAGTGGTTAGCAGAACCGTGGGGAAATGAACTTAGCCTCCAGTTTTTGATGTATTTATAGCAATTTACTCTTATAGGACAACTCATTAGGTATACTTTACTACTACCAGGTTGGACTCCCTTTTGCCTTCAGATCTGCTTTCATTCTTCATGGCGGATTCAAAAAGGTCCTGGAAACATTCCTTGCAGATTTTGGTCCATATTGACACAACAGCATCACACAGTTGCTACTGTGTTGTTTTTTGTTTTGTTTTTTTTGACTGCACGTCCATCCTGTTCCATCACATCCCAGAGATCCTCTATTGGATTGAGATCTGGTGACTGGAGGTTATTTGAGTACTTCTCAAGTTAAAAAATCAGTTTCAGATGATTTAAGCTTTGTAATACTGTGCATTATCATGCTGGAAGCAGTCATCAGAAGATGGGTACACTGTGAGTGATCCACTGATACAAGGTGGGATGACTCCATGCTTTCATGTTGTTTACCTGATGTGGTCTTCTGCTGCTGTAGCCCATCTGGTTTGCATTTTACTTTCAGAGATGCTCTTCTGCATGCCTTGCCATGTAACAAGTGATTATTTGAGCTACAGTTGTCTTCCTATCAGCTCAACAGAGTCTGGCCATTCTCTGACCTCTGTCACCAAAGAGCCATTGTCCAGAGAAGTGCTGCTCACTGAATACTTTCTCTTTTTAGACCATTTTCTATAAACCCTAGAGGTGACTGTGTGGGGAAATCCCAGCAGATCAGCAGTTTCTAAAATACTCAGACCTGCCCATCTGGCACCAACAAACATGCAACATTTAAGGTCACTTAAATCGCCCTTCTTCTCCATCCTGGTGCTCAGTTTGAACTTCAGCATGTCATCTTGATCATGAATTACTACCATCTGATTTGCTGATTAGATATTTGCGTCAATAGGCAGTTGAACAGGTGTACCTAATGAAGTGGCTGTTGAATGTATATTCTGAGTCAGTGTCTTGATAAACCTTAAATATATAGTCTCTATAGAAAAAAGTGCTTATGTTATTTCAGCTCTTCTGACAAATCCCTGACTGTGACTCGCAGGGCTATTTCTCCTGGTGTTTGGAGGCTGTTTTTAATATAAATGACATCTAGTACTCCGTGGTAAGTGTGGAGATGTTTTCTATCAGTCTGCTGGCTTACTTGTGTTTCCTAGAGTCTCTAGAAATATAATGGGAGGCAGAGCTTTCAGGATCCTGTCCATGTACGAAATATCTTCCAGTTTAGGTCAAAGACCACAAGACCTTGTCTACCTCTGAGGTAAGGTGGAAAAGTTTTCTTTATGACAATGATGATAGTTAGAGTGGATCATGTGACCCAGTGTCGTCCCTTAGTTATGCAGCTGCACATAGATAAAGCTTATTCTTTGCACTTATCACTCCCAATATATTTTTATGCAATTACTACATAAGGGGAGGGAGTAGCATACAAAGGTGGATCATCGGGTAGCTGGCGTTCTCTGATATTGTAAAGTCTTAATTGTTACAGGAAGCAGTGATCTAAAAAGAAAAGTGAATTGAAGATGGAGGTCATCTATGTGTAATATATCTTTGTTGCCAAAGACCATTTACTTTGTTGTCCTAGCTCATTTTATTTTAAGACAATTAGCATCGCAGGGCAAATAGCTTCCTTTCTAGCAGATGACTAGTTAGCACATTAACTAGTTTTAAACGTGTTAATCTCCAAAAACACAATTTCATAACATGCAACTCATTAACATTTTCATTATCCCTTCCTTGGCAACACATTTGAAACATACATGTCATTTTAATGCACATTAGAGGAAAATAATGTGAATTAGACAAAAAAACAACAGTAAATATCTTTATTTTTGTCTTCACAGTTTTCCATCTAACGTGACACAGAAGCATTGTGAGCAGCATTATACATTATACAAATAACTAAAAACAAAAAAAAAAAAACATTGAAACAAAAGTTGTAAAAAAAATAGGCCTTTGTTTCTCCTGTGATCAATCTATACAGTATATATATGATTATTTAGACATACATTTACTCCTGTAGATAGCACTTAATATTTTCATGTACTTTATGTGCAACATTAGTCTACAACAAACATTTTTTCCCCACATAAGAACAACTCACCCTGCAGCAAACAGCATGGCTGCAGACAAAGATGAGGAGTACAAGGGTGAATTATGACACAGAGTGCAAATCAGCATACTGTCTGCTTTGCTTTTAAACTGAGAGTTAATTTAATGCCACGCAAGCAACCTGTCAGTAGGAGCTGCAGTGCGACCTCAGTTTCATCATCGCTAAAAATAACCCCGTTTTTAAAGTGTCTATAAATAAGAGGCTGCTCCTGCACGCACACGTGGCTTCTCTCCTGTTTAGAACTAATAATGTCTCAGGCAGAAGCACAAAATAAGAAAAAGAAGGGGAAAAAAACGTAAGCACTGTCTGAACATGGGACACATTTCTGCTTTCCAATGAAAATAGAAGACAGTCCTAAGAAGACATTAAAAAAGTGACAAACATTTTCTTGGTGCATTTAAAATTTTAAAATATGCTTCAAGCTCTGACTGTATGTTTATGACCTACAACTGGCTCCAAACGCGCTCCCTGTGGCCCCCTGGTGTTGAGACAGAGCTACAGCAAAGCAGTGAAAGTAGAACTAAAAAAACGTTGGCAGGTTCTTGTGAGTCATTCAGATGACTCAAGAATTCCAGTTACAAATAAATTTAAAAAAACAAACAAAAAAAAACAAACAGCTTAGACTGCGGTAAACTTACACCAAAAAATTAAAAAAAGACTGACTGGAAGAATAAAAGCGAATCCAACTCAAAGAAACTCAGTAATGTCAACAACAACAACAATGTTTACGACCTACGACCCACATGTGGTCAAGCTGAAGAAAGATAAACTAATCACAATACTGATATCTGATGAGATGAGAGTTGTAGGTTGGCTCAATAATGCTTCAGCTGGAGGCATGATGTCCATTAAGGTTTTGACAGCACTCAGAATGATGTACTGTCATGTAACAGCTGTGTAGGCACACGCTAAAATGTTTTATTAAATCCCTGCAAAAATAACTGCCACACAGGCAGCTACCCACACACTCCTTGCCTTAGTTGCCAGATCTTTTTTATCAAATTCAAACTTATCCTGTTTTCAAAAATCAAAGCACAACACCTAACTAAGAGTAGAATTGAAACTTCTGTTCGCCTCTGAACGTGAACTACAGCACGCCCAGCTTCGACAAAGCTCCAGTAACGAGAAAAGGCATCTAAAGTTAGCTTTAGCCTAAATTCCTCTCCTGTTTTCTCCTCATTTAACCTACATTGTGGCCTGGAGAGGTCTTACTATCAGAGTGAAACACAAGCTTTAATCCTGGCCATTCAAATAACGCCCCAATTACACAAGTGTAATCCCGACCGGCTCTCCTGCCCCGGCCGCAGATGCACTCTGTAATCTATGAGCTGCTCTGCCTCCCCCTCTGCAATATCAATAACAACATTGATCCATGTGTTGTGCTTACTAACTCCTGTTTTTGACATGCTTTCCCTTTAAATGCATCACCAACTGCTGCCCAGGGTCTCTCACCCCCACTACTAAGACCTCCACAACACTGAAAACTGCTTTAAAGCGCTTTGACCAACCAGTCAATGTCTTGACTAAATATTCTTTCAAGTTTATGAATCATGTCCAAAGAAGGAACCTTGGTAAACACTGCCAAAGATCAGAATGTGAATCTGAACAAATAAATAGCAACACCTATAAAGTTTACAGCTCTGCTGCTAAACACAAGGAAGGGGAAACAGGACTGTGCATAAAAAAGAGAGAGGGAGG